ACCCGGCTACAATGAACAAATCAACGATGATTAAAAGGCTGATTTCTGTGCCACCCGCTATCAGAAGTACATTTCTTCAACAACGATTATTCTTCCCTCAGTCTCGCCAATATGCCGTTCAAAGCGTCACTCAGCCTTCGTTCTGGGCGAATATGATTCCTAAACCATTTCGAAAAAGCGAACGAGCCGTAAGCAAAAAGCCGAAATCCAAAGATTGGAATCCTGCGACTTTTTTCATATGGATCTTCCTTCTGATTGGATCCATGTCAATTCAGATGATCGCCTTAAGAAATGAATACACAACTTTCAGTCGCCGCGCTGATGCCAAAATTGGAGTACTGAAAGAGATTATTCAGAGAATAAGAAACGGAGAAAAGCCTGACGTTGAAGCACTTCTCGGAGTTGGAGATCGAGAGCAAGAACGGGAATGGGAAGAAGGTATACATGTCATTCATGATTAAATTCTTGGGGTATAATTCTAATATGTCTGGATAAAGTCTTACAGGAGATCGAACGAGAAGACGCAGCGTTACAACAGTCTACCGCAGAGAAATCTAAACCAGAAAATGTTGCCGTTCCAAAGACCCAAAAGAAGGCTCCCGAAAACGCGAAGAACAAGAGCAATGTGCCCTCGGGATTCTATTGAGAAGATTTATGTATAAAAATGGTCTACTATACAAGATTACAAGATTGATGGATGTATTTCTACGATAGCATGTCCTTGAACACACCGTTATTTTTCTGTCGTGCTTCGTACGGAGTTTGAACGTCGTCTTTTCTAGACGCGAAGCCGATCCGATTCAATTGATCAACAAGTGCAGGTAGAACTACATCGGTTCCTAGTTCGGCCCTTACACCAAATTCCCCAGTTTGGCCACTAGAGAGATTCTTAAAGAATGCCTCCTCACCTCTGACCCCGCCCAGATTCAAAATTGCGATAGGCATATTCCTCTCTTGAGCACGTCGTGCTAATCTCCAGGCAGAGTATGTGGCAAGCGAAGTTCCTAGCACCAACAGCCTACCGGAATCATCTATCGCTTGTTCAGCGGCTTCCTTTACTTGCGCATTTATACTCTCCCCAAACATGACTACAGCGGGTTTCAATATACCCGCTGTACTCGTTGCTTTCAAAGCTCCCTCTTCGTCAACTTCCACAATCGATTGTGATCCATCTTTTAAGATTGGAGGATTTTCAAGACAATTAGGGCACGGCGGATATCTGAAGGTGTCATATGGTGCTCCGGGTACATCAACATCGCCGTCAGGATTTGTCTTCATGCCTTTTGCTCGTCGGTCTTCTGGGTCTTCCGTAGTTAAAGCCCCAGATTCAAGTATTTCAGCCAAAAATGCCGCCCATGCTGGATTTAATCTTGCTAAAGATTCTTGGAAAACATCTCGAGGTAAGTCTTTTCGGCAGGTGACGCATGTCAAAGCTCGGAGATATCCATGAAGTTCAACAGTTGCCAAATTTGGATGTGCCTCCGTGTGAAATGAATCAACATTTTGTGTGACCACTCGCTTTACAATGTTCATATCGGCAAGGTCTTTGATAGCATAATGGGCAGGGTTCGGCTTGGCTTTGTGTAAATTCGTCCATCCTAGGAAACTCCTCGCCCAGTACCTTCGACGTGCCTGGTCGCTCGCAATGAATTCATGATAGTAAAGAGGTCGATATGATTTGTTCATCACATATGTGCCTTTCGAACCTCGACTATTGAGGATGGAAGGTTAGCAATCATTCACGCAATGTGAGCTTGGCATTGGGTGATATATAGCGTCCCGGATGGTTAATATGCAATATCCAATATACCCTGTTCGCTAAGCAAGAAGACCCCCTCAGTAGCTGATTCACCTCTTCTTGCAGCAGATGAAACAATGACCTATGGGTATCAAAGAACCAATGTACTCACTAATCTGCCAATCCCGAAGCTACAGAGATGCCTGCTCCTGACAAAATTACTGTTGATTGTGGGTCTTTGACTCCATCTGGAAGGTTATGTGAAGGCGGGGCAGTGAGGAACTTCGACAGAGCGTGAATTGCCCCCGGTAATGAGTTTGCGCTTCGTGGTAGGATTGATGGAGGGGGCAGTGGACCCGTATAGGGTATTCTCATAAGAGGTTTTCGCATTGGATGATCATGGATCTGGCATTCAGCATTTAGACACGCGTTCGAGGATACAAAAGATTGTAGATAGAATGAAGGAATTGGAATTCAAAATATACTAACGTCATGATTAGGTGGCGGACCAGGCTATGATATAGTGGCTTAGTCAATGCAAGGCTATCGTCTATCTATCTATCTATCTATCTATCCGCGAGGTATCCATTCTTAGTCTAATCGTCGCCTTTTCCGCAAAGTGCAGCAGAAACCTACCTAGTATCCATACTCGCATATTCAGTGAGTGGACATACGAATACTCTCGATACTGTCTTCAAGCTCGGAATATTCACGCGGGTATGTGAAGGATGATATTCGGCTGAAGAAACTGCTGTCTCCAGCTGTATACAGTACCTATGTGGAGATATTCATTCAACAGTGACATTCCCCAAATGCAATTCATCCAAAGGCCACGCAAGGGCCAAGAAATATGTTTATATAGAGTGACATCCTCACCCTGTAAGTTTCATCTGATTTCTGAAGCATACCTAGGTATTCAAATGGCTTTTCGATGACTGGCTACCGTCTCGTCCAAAAACGGTTCATACCCAGGGAATCGTCGTCATTTGGGAAGGTTGGCTTGCGAATTCATTTATGCAATTCGATATTAACCTTACGAAAGCCTCGTTGCACTCTAGAAATTTACTCCACACACCATCTAACGTTTGCTAATTCCTTTCTAATCCTTCACTAAGCAATAATTACATGTCCACTTTAAGCTTATAATATATTTTTCCCCTTACGCTCCATACAAAGTACATCCATCCATCGACCCTTAACGTGGTCCATAACACTCCTTGTAAAAGCACCTAGTACCTTTAATGAACGCCTAGAAAGGGTGTACACGAAAAGGATATTGTCCGGTTAGAATACATTTCTTATTTTATGGTTAACTCCAAAAATAAATTATTTATGTCCATGCCTCTTCATTGCTTCTCCCATGGACGCTTTTCGTTAAGGCCTGTCGTCACACTGGGGTTTAAGTCAAACATAAGGACACCTCAATGTCAAATTGCCCGAGTATTGCAGACTGCTGCTTTCGATTCCACTTTACTCAATTATAGTACTAAAGCTTACAACATTCCTCTTAAATCCTTCCCAAGACTTCAATCACTATCCGATAACTTCAATCCAAGGCTACTCAATTCAATGGCCGCTCTCACAACTACTCAAACGCGTTCACACGCGGGCCACTCTCATCATCATCACCATCATGATAATACATACCTTACCTCTACGAATAAGAACGATGCCGGTGTGCGGATTACTCGGATTGGACTTTATTCAAACTTGGGCATGGCGGTTGCCAAAGGAGTAGGAGGATATATGTTCAACTCTCAAGCTATGTTGGCAGACGCCTGGCACAGTGTCACCGATCTTGCCAGTGATATCCTTACATTGGCGACAGTTTCCTGGAGTCTCAAACCTCCATCTGAACTCTTTCCAACAGGTTTTGGAAAGGTTGAGAGCTTAGGGTCATTGGGTGTTAGTGGTATGCTTCTCTTCGGAGGGATGTTTATGTGCTTGAATAGTTCTGAGATCCTGTATGCACATTTCTTCTTAGATGCCCATGCGGCCGCAGAAGCTGCCGCGCATGCACATGGACATAGTCATAGCCATGGGCCATTATTACCTAGTTTACACGCTGCTTGGTTAGCTGCCGGTACAATCGTCGTCAAGGAATACCTATACCAAGCAAGTAAGTTGCCATTGGTAGTCGTTCGTTGATTTATCATATGCTGACTTAGATTTCCACAGCAATGAAAGTAGCACGAGAAAGAAAGAGCTCAGTTCTAGCCAGTAATGCGATCCATCACAGAGTTGACTCCCTCACTGGTATCGTTACCCTTTTCGCGATTCTCGGAGCAAATTTCCTACACGAGGCAGCTTGGTTGGACCCCGTTGGAGGATTCCTCATCTCATTACTCGTGATTAAGGCTGGATGGGGCAATACTATATCAGCGCTATACGAATTGGCAGATAGGGGAATCGACTCCGAGGTCAAGGAGTCTGTTACAAAAGCGGTACAAAAGAGTCTGCTCAATCTTACAGAAGGATCAGAAGTGGAATTACGAGAAGTCGAGGGTGTTAAATCCGGACAGAACTATCTGATAGAGCTTCAACTTGCCGTGCCTAAGGGATGGACAGTTGAGGACATCAGAGAAGTAGAGGATGGTGTCAGACAAATGGTTGGCTCAAAGGTTCGGGGTGTTCGACGAGTGAAAGTACGCTTTGTACCAAGAGATGAAGCTAAACCTTCCCTTTTCGATGAGTTCATCAGTGGAGATGTGAGCCCACGGGAAAGCCCTGAACCGGAATTGAATGGACACGACCACGATCACGATCACAATGGACATGCCCACAGTCATGACACTAAGAAGACGTTATAGTCGTTATAAAGGATCGTATGAACATTCATGGTTGGAGTTTGCATGGAATTGGAGTCGGCGTTAGGGATGGGTGGTAAGACTTCATGATAAGTCTTTTCAGAGGAGCAACTTGGCGTAGGGGTGAAATTTCTACAAGATTATACTCTATGCAATGTATCAAAATTTATAGAGCCATTATGATGGAAAATGATTGTCTGCTTTGATTGGTGCGCATCTAAACACCCGAACCACTTGGATTTGTGGCTTTCATTCAGGCTAAATGTGGATACTATTCCAACGTCAACTTTTACTAATCCTCCCTTTCTCCATAACCCCACGATAGAGGCAGGTCCAATTCTTTGTGTATAAAATAACCCTTTCGTTCTTTTTTTGCTCTTAGATTTTGTGACATTTCATTCATTCATTGCATTCTTCACCAAGTCAATATTTAAATCAAGACCACGAATCCGAATATGTCTTCAAAAGATGAATCTTTATACCTAGGTTTTGACCTCTCCACCCAACAACTAAAAGGTATGTCCACGTGAGCACAGTTCCCTTATTCTACCGCTCTCTAATTTTTTCCAAGCAATTGTTGTATCGTCTTCCCTCAAGGTCCGATACGAAGCTAAAGTCGACTTCGATGCCGACCTCTCCAAATATGGCATCAAAAAAGGTGTACATGTCAATGAAGTCGAAAGAGAGGTTTACGCACCAGTAGCCATGTGGCTCGAAGCTGTTGATTTAGTTCTTCAACGACTTTCGGAAAAATCTTGTCCGTTTCACTTGATCAAGGGAATTTCAGGCTCGGGTCAACAACATGGAAGTGTTTATTGGAGCCAAAAGGGCGAAGAGGTATTGGGGGCTCTGGAGACGAAAAAGAGTTTGGTAGAGCAGTTAAAGGATACGTTTGCGCATCCGTGGAGTCCTAATTGGCAAGATGCGAGCACGCAGGAGGAATGCGATGCTTTTGATCGGGAGTTGGGAAGTGAGGAGAAACTAGCAGAAGTTACGGGGAGTAAAGCTCATCATGTTAGTTATGTCTTGTTAATTCTCGATCTTCATATGTCGCAGGAGTTATGCGTAGGTGGATTTGCTTTGACTAATAACATTTACAGCGATTCACGGGACCACAAATCATGCGTTTTCACAAAAAGTATCCAGAGGTCTACCGCCGTACTTCTCGTATAACCCTCGTCTCATCTTTCCTGGCATCTTTGTTCCTTGGAAAAGTTGCCCCCTTCGATATCAGTGATGTCTGCGGCATGGATCTCTGGGACATAAAATCCGGATCTTGGAGCGAGCCTCTTCTCACTCTTGCAGCTGGATCCGATGGTCTTGCTTCCTTGAAATCCAAACTTGGGGAGGTACGAGAAGATGGTGGCGGAAGCATGGGCTCTATATCCTCTTATTTCACATCTCGCTATAACTTCCCCGCCGATTGTGGAATCGTCCCTTTCACCGGTGATAATCCAGCCACAATCTTGGCCCTCCCTCTTCGCCCCATGGACGCTATCGTCTCCCTCGGAACATCTACAACCTTCCTCATGTCAACCCCCAACTACGTCCCAGACCCCGCTTACCACTTTTTTAACCATCCCACTACAGCCGGTCTCTACATGTTCATGCTTTGCTACAAGAACGGAGGTCTTGCCCGCGAAAAAATTAGAGATGCTCTCCCCGCATCCAAAACCTCAGATCCATGGTCCAACTTCAACAAAGCGGCCACAGAAACCCCACCTCTCGCTCAAAAGGCTCCTTCTGATCCTGCAAAATTAGCTCTCTATTTTCCCCTCCCAGAAATTGTGCCAAATGTCCGAGCCGGTACCTTCCGCTATGAATCCTCACCAAGCAGTACACTAAATGAAGCCAAAACACCATATGATCCTGAAACGGATGCTCGTATCATTGTAGAATCACAAATCCTTTCTTTACGTCTTCGTTCGCAGAAATTGGTTACTTCTCCTTCGGAAGATATACCAGCTCAGCCTCGTCGTATCTATCTCGTAGGTGGTGGGTCGCATAATCCGGCCATTGCGAAGATTGTGGGTGAGGTTTTGGGTGGAGTGGAGGGGGTGTGGAGATTAGATGTTGGAGGGAACGCGTGTGCCTTGGGCGGTGCTTATAAAGCCGTTTGGGGCGTAGAGCGAAGCGAGAAGGAAGGAGGCAGAATTGGAAGTGGAAATGAGGCAAAATGGAAAGGGGAAAGTTTCGAGGAATTGATAGGAAGAAGGTGGAAAGAAGAGGGTGCTATTGAGAAGATAGATGAGGGGTATAGACCAGAGGTGTGGAAGAAATACGGGAGTGCTCTTGGAGCATTTGAGGAGATGGAGAAGGTGATTCTGGAGGGTGAGGAAAGGTCTAAGAAGTGATATTGCTAGCAGAGTTTTGGTCGGTGATGGATGCCTGATATTTTGTTATCGATTAACGTGGTTACACATATCTCCAGCTTTATAGTCTGAATTACTCATAATACCACAATCTATCCCCCAAAATGAACGGACTTGCATCAAGCTAGTGTTCTGGTGCCGGAAAGCTTGGCCAACCAAGATATTCCTGTCCAATTATCTCAGTCTTCTGTAATATCTAGTCGTCCAGCCAGTCGCAAATCCGTCGTCAATGCCCGTTTCTTTCAGATATGCAACAGACCTTTTTTAGTTTCATATTGCGGCCTATCATATACCTCGATGAGTCTCTAGTAGGGAATTCGTGAATTTTAATGGTCTTGTTGCATATCTAATTCTAATTGCCGAAAGCGACTGGCGATTGCTACCGGCATAATGCGGTTTCGTTTTTGCAGATTGGGTACAGATCAAGCAACAGCCAGAGTTTAGCAGTTCAAAGTTGCGGATTGGTTGCTCTCAACCCGCGTTCTTTTATTTCCAGTCAAGTCTTCTCATCAAGCCGTGTTATTCCATCACATCGCCCACAAATCGCCACTAAGATTGCGTGTTGGATATGCAACAAAACCATAAGTTGTTCTACGAAATCGTTAACCAAGTCTTCACCAAGTCGGCCCCGGGTTTCTCTCTGCTTAGCTGTGTAAATAATCCGGGTGTCATCAGTCCAGATATACAACACGATTTCAGTTGCAGATTCGACTTATCAGATCAATGCTTGAAGATTTACCGGATATTAGTAGAGCTAGAAATGGTGTAACTTTGAGATAGCTCTTGTTCTGGTCAAAACGTAGTCCTGTGTATTCGCGGATAGGTGGAGATTCTTCCGCCAGAAACACCTTTGAATTGATCTGATCTTGTGATTGTCGAGTTTTCTCGTTAATTGGAACTTGATTTTTACATATAGAAAATTGAGAAGTGGGTATCCTGGAGACAAGTTGGAACGCTAGAGACACTGGGTAGTTTGTTCAGACGTGCAAGGAAATCTCCTAGGCCAGGGGTCAGTTTATTTCAGATGTAATATGTGCATCCCCCGATACGTACTAACAACAAGACCACAGCTAATCGAAAGCCTACCGAGATCGCACGATGTGCGACGAATATCAGCTTCGCCGTTTAGCAAAGTGCCACAGAGAGATTAACACCAGCTTACTTTAACTTCTAGTAGATCGAGATGCACTAAGACCTGCAATTATGTAACAGTATGCAAAATATATCCTTCAGTTTTATCGCTGCTTAGCGAAGCGCTGAAGTGAGAGCGACATTCCCTGATATCTGTTGATAATCGTTAGGGCACACTTAAAGGATGACTGGTGTTGGCTAAAGGCTAAAGGTTTGTAGAGGATCTGCTGCTTGCAGTAAAGATTCGAGGGGATGATGTATCGAATCTAGAGAGAGATGAATGGGAGTAAGTAGAATGGGGATTATCATACTTAGTTTCTACCATCTATAATGAGACTTCATTTTCTAGCTCTGGAACCGAATAAACGAGACTAGATAGTTTGTAATCACAACATCAATATTTCAAGTAAAGCTTCTTGAAAATTGAAATACATCAACACCGATTCAGGATAGACAATCCCTGACTCCACAAAAACCACACATATCTTTCCTTTTCCGAGAAAGTATCTTCATGAATCCACATCACCAAGTTCCAGAACATATGGTCCAATCTATCTCACCTCGTTCTTCCAACAATCTTCATTCATCATCTTGGACGCATATCCTCTCGCTTCTTGCAAGCTCATAGTGATCCCTTCATGATCAATTGTACTCGCAACCCGATTTGCGATTTCTCGCGGCACTCACAGCTTGAGACTCATGAGTCCTTGCTCCGAGTAACGATTTAAAAGATCTAATAGAATTAGAGGTTTAGCTAGCTTCAAAAAAAGGGAGTAAAATAATATGGATAGAAATCCGAGGGTATCAGAAGACTGAAAGGGTCCTAATCATTGCGAAAGATGTAGAAAGTATGTAAGAGGCTACTGCAATTCAAAAGAGTTGACCAAGGCAAAAAAGATGTCGGCAATGTAGAAAAGAATGAGTCTCATGTGTCTTGCACACCCATTTGACGTATAAATTGAGACTAGGGGGGTTGTACGGACCTTGCCCACGCAGATATATTACAATCATTTCTCAAAAAAAACAAAAAAACAATTTATTATCAGAGACGTATCTGTAAAGAAATCCACCAAACTAAATCACTGATACAACAATCATTTCACCGTAAACCGAAGATCACGCAAGATTGAATAACACAAGATAAAATACGTGTGTCCTATAATCTCACTTAAAGTAATCATCTATACACGGGGAAGACGCGAGATCTCCATAACGGGAGTATGGGGACGCACTCCCAGTCGACGATTTTGGTAATAATACCATCAATGTCGACTAAGATATCCCGCAACGATAATTCATCATGAAAGAGTACATATTGCTCTGGAATGGAGTCAGTGGTAGGAAAACGCTGGGAAGAACTTTAAGAAGTTTCTCGGCGAGGATATTGGTGTCCAGCGTGTCTTCAATCTCGTCTTCGACGTCGGTTACTATGAGAATTCTTTCCTGGTCGGCAATTACCAAGGTGAGATGAGTATATAGCCAGGTTTTGCTGTTGGTGAATGGACTTCGGGGTTTATCTTGTGTGATGTGATCTCCCTAGAAGAAGAACATCGACACTATTTCCCTTAGGGCAGGCAACAGCTGTTGTGAGTCTTGTGGTGCTCCTTTGACACTAGCTGATATACTTCGGAAGACAGATCCCCGTTCTTACGTTGAGGTTCTGGTACAACAAATATGTTACCAATAGCAGAGAACTCGTGACGGGAAAGCTCGGTTTGGTATTGTGCAATCTGTTTGACCAGATTCTGTTTGGAATTTCGGAACAATTTCCTCCATTTCGTTCTCAAGTTCTCACCAGGTAGCAAGCATAGACACTAATATCCATTCGAACCCAAGCCCGTTTTCACTAGTATCATCGAACGCAAGAATATGAGCACTAATATATCCGTACTCTGGAAAATGAAATTGATGGTAGCTACCTCACTATTTGTTTTTACAAGAGCTCGACAGGCAATGTGATACGAAATAAGAAGCCTACATTTGCAGTTTTGACTCTGTATACTTTGCTAAAGGCCCCTTCAGCATAAAAGTTGAGATGGCAGAGATCATTTTCCTCCAGATTGAGGTGCTTTCGAGCGATTAATTCAACTTTGGCAATATCCGGCTCAGATGTCCAACGTGGTTCGAGACCAAATGCCTGGCCACCCATTCTAGTCCATCTTGTTTAATCATCTTGTGAGTGCCAAAAAACGATGATAGCGAATCAAGGATGACGGACTGTGAGATGAGTGAAGTGAGGTGCCAATGAAAATCTGAAGAAGCTTCGTCAACTTTAATTGTGATCACACATTACAATATTTTGTAATAAACATTCTGAAAAACAAAAAAAAGCTAGTATTCATGTGAGACTTTCGACTTTTGGAGACAATTTTCAATTCTTCACATCGAATAAGATGGCACGAGGAGTCCCAGTCAATTACAAGGTATAATATTATTTAATGAATTCACAAAACCCTATGAAATAATCAAGGGTGAGATTCACGAATCTTGAGGCTGAGGTTAATATTCGGGGCTATGAAGCGGGGCCGAATCTGCCTATGTGGGAAACCTTTGTATATATGGCATTCGATTGATAGAAATCTTCAATCTTGCATAGCCAGTTCAAACTGTACATATTCAACCATGAACTAGCTGTCCGACTACATTCAACAACTTTGAGTCCAAGTCTTTTGAATACTATGTTGGAGATCTCTATTTTCTTTCGCGTGGGCCTTATCCCAGTAAGTACTGCTATTGCTCCTATGTAACTTGTACTAAAGCACTTGGAATTTCTCGAACTCCTTAAGAAACTAGATCTTGGACAAATAAGCAGTCTGGGATCCACCTGTGGCAGGTTTCACTATTTGGATTGTGGAGTATGTAGGATGCGGCTGCGCAAGAGACATGGACGGGCGAAGTGTAATTCACCGTTGATCTCGGGGTTGAAAGAGTGTCAGCTGGAAAGGGTCTGAGGGGAATCTGTCTTTTGACTTTTAAGCTATTCGGAATGACTGTTACTGCTAAAAAGCCAAATTGAAGATTAAATAGGCGGTGACTAGGGAGCAGGGACGCGGAACTGAAAGACTGCAGCATCCGAAGTATCCAATTATGCGATTAATATGAACTTCCAGAGGACTCTCCGTGATGATAAGATTGGATTGCAAGTAGCTCTGAAACAAGTAGTTATAAGAAAGGATAAGAAATTGCTCGATGAATTCATAAAGACAATTGTTCGGGTGAGATGAAAGACATGGGGGAGCTCATGGGGCCCCGCAATGGTTCACCATCAGAGCCAAAATTATGCAAATGCAATGTGAGGCTCGCCCAAAAGGATTATAATTAGGTATCAGAGTCCTCCGTACAGCAAGTACATACGATGTACATCGGCGGTTCATAGCCGAAGTTGCATTAGATTGCTTTTATCCAGCTTTTAACGGTACGAACAGGTCCTAATCATCTGCAACTTTCAAGCCACGAGGGCGTGATCTCCAGTGCACGACTCAGGCTCCGCCGTGGAGACTTTGGTTGCATGAAAATGGATACTTCCACGATGGCTTGTGAAATGACACACTTTGTCTTATTCTGATTCAATTTGCGGACTTTCGCAGAATACGATACCGGTACTCGAGCAGGTAATGAATGAAGACGAGGTACGAGGTAAACATTCATGGCTGTTGCATTTCCCGCGAATTCAAGAATTGAAATGGAGTCTTGCCGATCAAATACGCAACTTCACAGAATCACAACTTCCTTTCAAGGTTACTTCCAAGAAATCCGTAATCAGAAATCACAGGATTGGCGCGTGTATCGTACATAGGTAACATCGTCTTCGAATGCCGATTTGTGGTTCACCAATGGAAATAAAGTCCGAGTCGTTGCTCCGTTCAACCAACCTCCAACAGCGTTTCAGATGTCAACAAACGAGATTTACACTTTGTGAGCGTTTAATAATTCATTTCAAATTTCCACCCAACTTCCTCTTATCAACCGACCGTTTTCTGTTTCTTTTTCTTTTTTCCATGATGTGACTCGGCGGCGCATCTTCAACCTCTGAATCCTTGAGGGTACTCCCGCCTCGGAAGAGTGCCGAGTACGGCCGGTATGACAGGATTGTGCGAAGCGTAGACGAACTAGGTAGGTATTGATAAAGTAGCAAGGCTGAGAATCTGAGATAGATATAAAACTGGAGACTCCGCCATCGGATAATCCAATGATTGGATGTCGGTTGGGTAAAAATGAAGGGGGATATCTTGGTGGACGGATATCTTGGAGGCTGGGAAACCATTTGATTGCAAACACAAGATAGAAGAGGCGAGAGGATAGAATAGAATTGGAAGTCAATCAAATAAATGCATCGGGGGACGTAGAGGCTCGAGAACCAGATTCAAACAATCGAGAGTAGTATCGATTGAAGCTGTAGAAGTATCAAATTCTACAGAATATCAATAGTTTATCTATTCTCTACCTCAACTTGGTCAGGGCTAATCCCATCATCACATATTCTCCACTTAGGATGAACTGTAATTTATATGACACTGACAGAGCCCTTACCTTACCGTCGGACGCCGCGGGAGGAGGTACGATCACACAGGTACTTCACAAACATACTTTACCCTTGATTTTGATTTGGGGCCAAAGAACGTGCTGCGTGCTGCGTGCTGCTTAGATATGTGCAGGCCAAAGCAGCTTGAGAAGCTTCTAGAAATAGCCAAAAGGGCAACGAGCCCCAGAATGATAAATGATATCCACCTCCACAGGTAGAAAAAGAAAAGGGAAAAGTGTCTACTGCAAGCTAAGTGCTCGTCACAGAATTGAGATGGCTGAGCAAGATGCAAAAGAGCAAGAGAGGTAGGATATTCGGGTACGGAGCACAACATTAGCAATCGAAAATTTACTCTCGACTCTCCCTCCTCCGTACTCAGCAGGCATCAAGATGACAGCACGGACGAATAAAGTGTAAAGATTCCAGGGGCCACAAAAAATCTATTGGAAGTCGATGCCCTGCAAAGGAAGATCTGGATAGCACTAAAAAAGAAAGGAAGAGGAAAATAACTGGTAGCAACTTGGGATGAGCTATTGATTTGATTGACTGATATCATACGGCCATACGGAGGACATCCAAACCATACCATACATCACGTACGAACCATACAAGCCATACCTACATACATCCATCATCCATACATACATCCATACATACATCCATCCATCCATACATACATACCCTCGATACCTTACCACTCTATTTTGTGAATATCTAAGAGGTCGAAAACTTTTGGTGTTAATTCCCATCTATCATCCCCCCTCCCTCCATCCCTCTCTCACTCTCTACCTATATTTCCAACCTCGATCATATCCACCCATTTGCCCATCGTTCTCATCTTAGATATCTTGTTGCGCTCCTCTCAACATCTCGCTCTCACACACTCTCTCACGGTCTTCACTTCACTCCACTTCTCTTATCCTATGGGACTTCTTTTCGGCTCCTCACCCATACCGAAAATAGCCTTCGACGCACTTCAAAAAACGAACCAATTTGCTTGTTCGAAATCCCCCCAAAGACAACAATTTTCAAGGAGAAGAATAGGATAAAGACGGAGGAGAAGGCTACCAGGTATATACGAAAAAGAGAAGAAAGAAAAAAGAGAGACAATAATCGCAAAAAAGCAAAGGCGAAAGCGAAACCCCCAAAAGTAAATAAATCCCTACTCTTCATAAATACTTTTAACTTTCCCACCTACCTTTCTCTTATATCTTCCCTCCCTTTCTCTGTCTCTCTGTCTCTTCCTCTCTCTCTCTATCCTACCAAAATGGACTTTTGACGTCTGGTTTTGTGTTGTATGTATGCTGCATCAAACGGAGTTGGGGAGTTCATGTTCCTATTGAATATATTCTAAGAGCTTCTATAAGATTCTAGCTAGGGAAAAAAACTTATATTCACCACACGCCACACACAACCTACCTAGGGCTGTTACTACTGGTATCACTCACTATAAGCCATTACATCAAAACCAACCGTCATATCATATTTTTTATTTTTTCGCTCTCACAGTCTGTCCAACCACAATCGTTCGTCAGACCGGCTACACGCACCCACGGTCATCCCAGCGGGAATTATTATCTATTCTCAATGTCCTTTAACCTCTTTTCAAAAACACCAAGAAAACCAAAGAAACCTGAAGATAACGAGGAGGGGATTCAAACGGATTCGCCTCGCTCAAAATCCCCACTAAAGAAATCTTACTCAAGATTAAGTAAAAATAAAGAAGAGGAAAATATTAAATCAGAGGAAAAACAATCAGGCTCAACAAAATCCAGCCGTATTCGACCAAAATCGAGTGTATACCCGTCGCGAAATTCTTTTGATCCAAATACCACTCATCCTTTAAACCTTCCGCCAGATCAACTGCGGAGGTTATCAACTCAAGTCAGGATGTCGGAACCTATGGATATTGACGTTGACTCTCCTGCCAGCGCTCGCAATCCTTCCCCACCACCTGCAACTAATTCACAATCAAACACCCAAGCAAGCACATCAAAACCAGCAGAGCCTGCTCGTAAGCTTTCTTCAAAGTCTGCTCCAAAGCCTGCTCCTCAGCCAAGTGCACCCAATGGTGACAGTGCTTCAGCTAATGGAGAGGGACCACCCCCTCCTCCACCAGCTCACAAATCGAACCCAACAAGTCCTCAAGCGGTAGCGCCACCGACCCCAGAAGAAGCAGAGGCATTCAAAGATTCGGGAAATAGATATTACAAGGCTAAGCAGTACAAGAAAGCTATTGAAGAATACACCAAGGGTTCGTGCGTTCGAAAGGGTTTAATACGTGACAACTGCTGATATTTATACTATTTGTAGCTGTCGAAGCGATGCCAATATCATCCACCTATATCAACAACCGTGCTGCTGCTTATATGGCTGCTGGCCAATACTACCAGGCTTTAGAAGATTCCAAACGAGCTGACCAGCTTGATCCCAACAACCATAAAGTACTTCTACGATTAGCTCGAATTTACATCAGTATGGGATTACCACAAGAGGCTATGGATACCTTTGGCCGCATTCAACCACCACCTTCAGCAAAAGACATGGCTCCAGCTAAAGCTATGTTGCAACATCTTGCGGCTGCAGCAGACGCACTTAAGAACGGAACTGGATCAATGGCAATACACTCTATTGAGCAGGCAGAAAGATTACTTGGTATGGGTGTGCCCAAGCCACGCAAATGGCAATTAATGCGTGGTGAGGCTTATCTAAAAATGGGCAATGTCAATGCTTTGGGAGATGCACAAAATGTTGCCATGTCTTTATTACGAGGAAACAGCCAAGATCCTGAGGCGCTTGTTTTGAGGGGCAGAGCTTTATACTCTCAAGGCGAAAATGAAAAGGCCATCCAGCATTTCCGACAAGCTTTGACATGCGATCCTGATTACAGAGACGCAGTCAAGTATTTAAGATTGGTCAGGAAGGTTGATCAGTTAAAAACCGACGGAAACGCGGAGTTCAAGGCTGGGCGATACCCGAATGCTATTGAAAAGTACAGTGAAGCTCTCGCACTCGACCCTACAAACAGAGGAACAAACTCCAAATTGCTTCAAAATCGTGCTTTGTGCAAATCTCGCCTCAAGGATTATGCGGCTGCTATTGAGGATTGTGATCAAGCTCTTCAACTTGACCCTTCATACACCAAAGCAAAGAAGACAAAAGCTACCGCTCTTGGCGAGTCTGGCCAGTGGGAGGAAGCTGTACGCGAGCTCAAGCAGTTGCAAGAACAAGATCCTTCAGACGCTGGTATTGCTAGGGAGGTACGAAGAGCTGAACTCGAGTTGAAGAAGAGCAAGAGAAAGGATTACTACAAGATCCTTGGCGTTGAGAAGGACGCAGATGATAACCAGATTAAGAAGGCTTATAGAAAGGCTGCAATCATCCATCATCCAGATAAGAACCGGGATGATCCACATGCAGAGGAGCGATTTAAGGATATTGGAGAGGCCTACGAGACCTTGAGTGATTCTGAGTAAGTTTGATCTGTTTCTCCTGACATTACCGTGCAGTCTAACATAATACTTCAGGAAACGTGCACGATACGATAGTGGTGTAGACTTGGAAGATCCAATGGATGGCTTTGGAGGCGGTATGGGAGGTGGTGGGGGAGGAATGAACATTGATCCAGGTTAGTCTACAACGTTGATGTTCCAAATTACACTGCTAATTTTGCCAATAGAAATCCTCATGCAAATGTTTGGAGCCCAGATGGGAGGGGGCCGTGGAGGTGGAGGTGGTTTCCACAGTTTCGGTGGTGGTATGCCGCAGGGAGGTCGCGCTCGGGGCGCTCCTCAAGGCTTTCCCGGTGGATTTTCGTTCCAGTGACCTGATGAAGATCAGAATCATGATATTAATCAAGATCAATCCACCTCTCACAACACATCAAAAAGTTCGCGTCAAAGTTCTGATTTCACAAAAGCTTCTCATGATCCCGACGGAAAATGGTGGCTACGTAAAGCATGGATGGGGTTCCTACTGGCGGGCGTTCTTCTTCCTCTTGATCTCTTGGCCCTTCTGGCTTTTTTAATGGCCGGAGTGTACATTTGCATCAAAATTACCATTTACGTGCGTCGAAAACGCGACGCCTCATAGAATTTGGGGATTAGATTCCATTGCAGGCGTTTTCTATCGTGGATTTTCATTTTTGATCCCAGCTTCGAAAGCATGATGAAAGGATAACCACATACATACTGGACAGATTTTGAAACAGCATCAAAAAATTTGAAGAGGGTAATGTGGCAAATGAGGAATTGATGTACATGTCTGATGATATTTATCATAATGACATAGGATTTCTTTTACTGCCTTAACTTAAATAGACTATTAATGAACATAGTTTGAAATATTCCTAAACGCATTCAATAATATAATTGGTTGACACATGTTATACAGTGTGAATTTAATTTATACCTCTAACGCCGACCTTCGTTCCTTCAAGTATTCTTAGATTCGTCAGAGAACCCCTTGCGAAATCCTCAATAGTGGCAACGAGCACCCAAATGAAGATCGAATCCGGATAAAATAGGGGCCGTTTCTCACGTGTCACCTTTTCACCAAGCGAAAGGCTGAAATTAAACCTTGCCTTACCCTTCAGATTTGTGTGTTGTGGTGGGGCAGTATCTTCTGAAGAACCGCTTTCAGTAGAACTTTTCCAACATCATATTGCAAAAAACTGGCAACAAAAGTTATTTTAAGAGCTCAGGATACAAACTCAAAAACCAGATAGGGATTCAACGTACAATTTTACAATCGTGCACCAAGTCTTCTATCTATTGCAAGCTTTTGTCTCGTCCCCAACCATTCAACGAATAAATCTAAAAATTATTATGACTCGATAGCGGAGTCTCAAAGAATGCTACAGATGTACATGCGATTTACTTTACAATAATTGTGGATCGTTTGAACTTCCTAAACCTTTCTGTCTGCTGTGACCTCAAGCTTTAGTTCTTGGGAATACAGCAGTCATGGACGCCCAGGTATGTTCTTGATACACCGCTTCCGGGAAATTCTGCGCTGGCGGGGGTTAATGCTCGAGAATGGAAGTTTGGATATATAGGATGGAACATCTGTACTAATCTGCCATTATTCTATAGATTGAGAAAGCCATCGAAATCGCATGGGACCCTCGATCCGACCCAAACCTAAAAGAACAAGCGGTTCAATATCTCACCCAAGTCCGAGGCGACACCTCGAGCCTACAAGCATGCCTTAACCTCTTCACCAGAGCTCCAAAAGCTGCCGAAGTCGTACGATTAGTTTCGCTAGATATTGTCAACAATGCGATTCAAACTCAACACATAGACGATCAGAGCTTGCGTGGGCTCAAAGAACAACTACATGACTATGTCAGAAGAACCTATGCCTCTGGAAACGAGGTCGATCCACCCGCTTTACAGAACAAGCTCACACAAACCTTGACGTTTTTGTTCTCATCATTATACAAGGAAGGCTGGGAAAGTTTCATAAGAGATTTCTTGAGCTTCGCAGGTCATCAGAATGGATCAGTTGATAATCTTTCCGGGGTTGTATTGTATTTGCGGCTTTTGAGCTCCATTCATGACGAGATTGCCGATTTGATGATAGCCAGGGCTGGAGAGGAAACAAAGCGAAATGTCGAGTTGAAGGATCTTGTGCGTGCTCGAGATGTACATACGGTGGCAGGTTCTTTTCAACAAATCCTCACATACTGGCAAGGTAATAACGATGCCATTGTTGAAATGACATTGAAGGTTATTGGAAAATGGGTCTCGTGGATTGATATCTCTTTAGTCGTAAATCAGGATATCTTGAATTTGTTGTTTCCATTGGTTGGCCGAAACCCTAATGGTGGTGAAGACAAAGTCAAGGATGCTGCCATAGACTGCTTTACAGAGATTGTGGCAAAGAAGATGAAACCTTCTGATAAGATAGGAATGATCCTGTTCTTAAACCTTGGAGAAGTTGTGTCGCAACTTATCACTAGTCCAGCCCTACACAACTTACGGAACACTTCTAGCTATGACACCGATCTTGCGGAAGCGGTTGCAAAACTGGTCAACAACGTTGTTTCAGATCTGGTCAAAATCCTCGAGGACATCAAAGTTGAACCCGATGTTCGAGCCCAAGCAGAACAATTATTGCAAACTTTCCTTCCACTTCTACTCAGATTTTTCTCGGACGAGTACGACGAGATATGCGCAACAGTCATACCATCTCTCACAGAGCTCAACACATTCTTACGCAAAGCACAACCATTACCACCTGCATATTCCGCCATGCTGACACCTATTCTCAATGCGATAATACAAAAAATGAGATACGATGACACTTCTTCATACGCCGATGAGGATGAATTAACAGACGAGGCTGAATTCCAAGAGCTTCGAAAAAGGTTACAGGTTCTTCAAAAGACTATTGCTGCAGTTGATGAAGCTTTGTATGTTGATGTCTTGAGCAACGTGATTGGAAGTACATTTCAGAGACTCGACGAGCAAAATGGTCAGATAGACTGGCGCGATTTGGACCTTGCACTACACGAAATGTACCTTTTTGGGGAACTTACGCTCGTCAATGGTGGTCTTTATGCCAAGAGCCAGCCATCCAGTATCGCAGCCGAACGTTTGATCGTCATGATGTCTAAAATGGTCGAATCCGGTAAGATTGTGCGAGCACCTTTACAGGAGAATTCACTAATTGTAAATAGGCATTGCGTCATTCAATCATCCTGCCATCTCACTCCAATATATGGAAATCTGCGTTCGATACTGTTCGTTCTTTGAAAACCAAACCCAATATATTCCTCAAGTTCTCGAGCAATTCGTTAGCTTTGTGCACCATAGTCATTCACGGGTCAGGATACGTTCGTGGTATCTATTTCACCGATTTGTAAAGCACTTGAGAGGTCAAGTTGGTAATGTTGCGGAAACTATCATTCAATCTATCAGTGATCTCCTTCCTTTGAAGGCAGAAGTACCAAGGGAAAATGATGATGACATGTCATCAGATGATGGCAATCATGATGCAGCGGATGTTGCATTCAATGCGCAACTCAACCTTTATGAGGCAATTGGTTGTATCTCATCCACAACCTCAACACCAATAGAGAAGCAAGCTATCTATGCAAGAACAATCATGGATCCTCTATTCTCAGACATCGAGCGAAATTTAGAGCAAGCTAAGTCGGGCAATGCACAAGCTGTTCTACAAATTCATCACATTGTTTTCGCTCTTGGATCGTTAGCCCATGGATTTTCTGACTGGTCCCCTGGAGAAGGAAAAAGGGCTGGACAAGCACCTGTCAAGGAGATAACCATTGAATTCAGCCGTGCCGCGGAAGCAATTTTGTTTGCACTCGAGGCACTTAAGGCTTCTTTCGAGGTCCGTAATGCAGCAAGATCCTCATTCTCCAGACTTATGGGAGTCATGGGGTTGCTATGCTACCTCTTCTTCCGAGATGGATCGATGGCTTGTTGTCTCAAAGTTCTTCTAAAGAAGAAATCGCCATGTTCTTACGATTATTGGATCAAGTGGTGTTTGGGTTTAAGAAGGATATACATGAAGTTCTCAACTCCCTACTGACACCACTTTTCCAACGAGTTTTTGCTAGCTTAAGCGAGCCGGTTACAGGAACAGATGATGGAATCCAACTCGTTGAATTGCGAAGAGAATATTTGACCTTCGTAACGGTCATCTTGAATAACGAGCTCGGTTCTGTACTTGTTAGTGAGCAGAATCAAGCTTTCTTTGACCCCCTTATTCAGTCGGTCACAACCTTGGCGAAAACAGTCACAAATGAAAATGGCAATCTCGCGGCCAGCAAGATTGCCTTCAACGTCATGACAAAGATGGCAGAGATCTGGGGTGGCCCAACAATTGCGACACCAGGTCAGCCCATTACCTCGCCTGTTTCCCCTCAACCATCATTTCCCGGCTTTGATAGTTTTCTCATTGAACGTTTTCACCCGGTTTGTTGGGAAGTTCTTCGCGATCCAAACTTCAGACCATTGGTCGATGCGCAATCCAAGAGCGTTTTGAACGAATTGGCGGGATTGGAACAGGTTATCTATATGAAGACTGGGAACATGTTTGTGGAGCATTTACAGGGCAATTTCTTCCCAAGCATGGGCGTGGATGGTAGTGGATTTATTAAGAGCATGGTGGAGAGTCCGGAAAGAAAGGGATTAGCGACATTTTTGCAGAATTGGATGAAAGGAAAAGCTTAGAGCAATGCATTCATTTGCACAGGCGAGGGACGATGGAAGCGATGGGATAATGAGGTTTCGTTGATATCCGGTCGGAGGTGGAGATTTATTGATTGTTAGAACGGCATGAAAGGAGGAGAGGAATCATTGCATTTTCGAATGGCGTTGGAATGGATGTTTATATCATGGTTGGCCGGTGATTGCAACGAAACTTAAACTATACCACAAATGGATATGCAGGTATTGGGATGGGAGAATGAATATCATGATCCTTTCAATTTGGCTTTAGGTTGAAACAGTGCTTTGGGAGAAGAAGTGGCTTAGTCTGAAGTTTTTACTTTAGTTCAAAAACAGTGGATGTGCTGAAATGGGATGAGGGTGCTTATCGATTGTTGATAATTCAGTAAGCGATTACTAGAAGAAAAAAGTCATATCATTCACTTTCGTATGCCGACATGCTCTTATGCGTATATTACGAGGATTTTGGATGGGTGCAGTAGGGTTGTGTAGTTGCAGAGGATGGATAGTGCGAGATGAAATAGCTGAGTTGTAGAAATGAGAAGGAGGAAGAGGTGACAGGCGGAAGCCAAATCCGAGTGAGGCTAATTAGATATATTAGATATATTGGCTAGGTTAATCTACCAATTAATTTCCTTGTACTCGCCGAGGAATATACTCATTCTCGTCCCATGTGGTTTTGCGATCAGTCTACATCTTTTTATCTCACTGCGTTAATTTTCCGATAGCTGGTGTTTCAATTGCTAGATCTAATCTGGAAACTGGTAATAAATAGTAAGACGGATTTGCTTAAAGGTACTATGGCATGCAGTCAGTGCTGCTTCGAATTATACTCTATGTATTGTTAGAAACCTGTAAGACGGAGATAGATTCACTTTTCCAACTTTTGGTGTTCGTGTCATGCTTTGGATCAATACTCGTATGTCAGACCGGCGGGTATACTGGTTTTTATTTAAAAGACCCCCAAATTCTTTTCGGAATTTTCTGCTGCATAGCCCCTAGGAATCTTGTAATCAGAACTCATCGTACTCAAAGCATCGCAAAATGGATCCCTTCACAAAACCGGCGTACGGAGAAATACTCCTCCATCAGACACTTGATTACCTGTCGAGAGTTTCGCCACATAGACTGTACGCATCAATTCCACACTTTGCAGATTTCATCGATTTATTTAGGGATCTGGACTTCTTATGCTGTACCGGTGTCCCTTATTCAGGGTCAACCTTTGCTGCCGGTGCGTTGGTGATAGGAAATGGAAGAGTACGTGCTACTCTGCTTTTGGAGCCTAAACCACAAGTTCAAGACCACGAAAGAAAATCTTTGATTCAGACTCTTTGGCCATGTATTGAGGAAGCTAACGCGTTGGCACCTGGCCATGGACGCATCCTCAATCAAACATTATCGTTGCCGACAAGCCATTCTCACGTGCGGGTAAAGCAACCACTGTACGCAAGCTCACGAAAACAGCTTTCGAGAAAGAGATCGAGACCCCATACAAGCAGACAAAATTGTCTACTTCAAATAAAATCCCGTCTCTCAGAGCTATCTTTGAGCGCGAGTCAGTTCGGAACTTCGTACGCGCTATTGCTGTCTCTTGCTTTCCAATCGCTGCTAATGTTTCGGACGACGAAGATCTCTTTTCACATGATTTAGACTCGCTTAGGATTACCGAGCTGGTAGCCATTCTGAGATCCGGAATTGCAGAACACGCCAGCTCGTCCGGTGTATCATGGATATCGCCGGAGATGGCATACCAGAATCCAAGCATTGTCCAATTAGTCACTATATGCCATTATTTCCTCAATCCCCGCCGTACTCCACAGGGAAGCAATGCGCAAGCACGAATTTCCACCATGGAAAATCTGGTCCGAAAGTACACTCACAACTTACCCGTGCGATCTCCATACAGCCCGGGAGATGCACCTCAAACATCGTTGAAAATGTGCATTGCAGTAATAGGCTCAACAGGCACATTAGGAACAGTTCTTCTCAGCACGCTGTTACCAAACCTCAGAATTTCCCGAATCTACTGTCTCAACCGCAATGTTTCTGCACGCGTCACGCAAGAATCCATCCTTGCAAATCGAGGAATCGATTCTTCCCTCGTCTTCAAGCCCCATTTCATGACGGTCAAAATCGATTCGCCAAACCTTGGTCTACCTTTATCGGATTACAATATACTCGTTGATGATATCGACATCATAATATATAATGCATGGGGGTCCTAGCATCAATTTCTTCCTCTCATTCCCCTTCCCTTTCTCACAAGGCCTATTACCCATGACTCAGCACCAGAACTCACATATCTATACCCTACTAAGCCTCCCACCACAGTCCCAACAACCATCCTCCGTATCGGCCAGATAAGCGGTTCAACCAGCCCCACCGACCCTCCCTGGCCAAAACAAGAATGGTTATATCCCATTCTTCTTTCTTCCAAGACACTCTGCCTCTTACCTCAGCAACTTGCTCCTATTGATTGGGTGCCGATCGACTTAGCTGCTGCCGTTATCTCCGAAATTCTAGCTTCATATGGAGATGCATCTTCAATTTCGGAGGCCAAGTATTCGAGTGAGAGCGAGGATGGGAAAAACATTCAAGCATACAACATCGTCAACCCAGCTCATATTTCCTGGGATATACTTGTATAAATACTACGAGAACGTTTTGGAAAGGATAACGGCCGACAAATAAAGATGCTTCCGTTACGAGAATGGATCGAGGAGATTGAGAAGTATAGTGCGAATTTGGATGTGAAGACAATGGGGATAGAGGCGACTTTAAAACCTGCATTGAAGTTGAATAAAAGATTGGGGAATGGGAAGGCATTAGATGATGTTAGATATATGATGGAAAAGAGTAAAAGAGCTAGTAGGGCAATGAAGGAGATGGGAGGTATTGATAGGGAGATGATCGAGATGTGGTTGGGGCAATGGGGGCTGTAATTTGGAGATTGGTTATTTGGGCTGTTTAATGGAGTGTGGAGAAGGGATTAACTGACCAAAAGAAGACTCAAGTGTGGTAAGCTCAAGAGATTGGAGTGTACAGTACTTTATTGCGATTCATGGTTGTACCTTGCGAAGTGGTTGATTTTCTAATAACCTCAAGTGGCATTCTAGAAACTTCACCAGAAGCAAAGATGTTATTGCATCAGTAGATTTCTTCTTTATACTGCTATTATGACTAAACTTCTAGTCTCATACTAGAAAAGGGTATATCCACCCATATCCACCCAAATGTATCCATACATTCATAACGCCATTGAAAACTGTTCTAGTTGCCTTTTCTTTGATCACATGATGAAATCAAGCAATATCCACGTTAGACCTGAAGTTGCACTGGCATTTGCACTCCGCAACTGGACATTCCACGTGTCTATCAAACCAATTTACCGCATGATCCATATGAGCAGCATGCTTGCATTTCATACAGAAAGTCAATTGATTGCCCATTCTCTTAATCAATGGATCCTCCGAAAGCTCAGGCCTGTCCGATCTTGGAGAGCCACAAATTTCTAAACATATTCCGCAGCGAGGTAGGTGCGAACCACAGCGAGGGCAGCTAAGACCGGCATTAATACCGCTAGACATTAAAGGATTGCGTTCGTCAGCGCTGGAAGAGGGACCGGCAGATGAATTAGGAGGTGCGGGAGCAGCGCCTGTAGAATTATGACGATCGTTTGCCGAACGGTTATCGCAAAAGAGACAACGAAGAGTAACTTGACGGATGGGAGGTTTGATAACTGGAATACCGTCTCGTTGACGAGACTTCTTGGCTGAGCCTTGGTCAAATTGGACGCGTAGTATAAATTGTTGATGACGATTTAAATAAGCTTGGTAGTCACGACGCCAGGCATCGCAGCGGATGTCGGAAATGTAACGAGGGTAGCAGAAAGACATGATTAAAATGGCGGTTTGGTAGTCAAAGAACTTTGCGACATATTTCGCCAAGATGTCGACCATGTTGTCCGTAATTCCCGCAAGAACGATGCCTTCGATGTCTCCATGTTTGATAGCTTCTTCCATTTCCTGGTCAAGCCACTCCGTAAGTTGTAGGTCACTAAGGTATCTTAGAGCCACACCGGCACGATATCTCAATGGTAAAGCCGTCTCATTTGCGATGACCTCCCAGTCTCTCGTTGTAATGTAGCTAAATATAGCTCTTAGATATGGATCGTCCGACATATGAGCTTGTTCTCGAAGTGTCTTGCTCCAATTGGAGAGATCAACGTTGGGAGGACTCTTGACGGTAACATCGAGTGCCACAGCAACAAATACTAGCTCTTTGTCTCCACGTCTGAGGATCTCAACTGCTTGTTCAGGCTCGCCCTCAAACAGCGCCCGTGCAGCTGCTTTAGTAAATTCTCCTCTTCCCTCTAGACGAGCCAACATGTCTTTCAGCTCTGCGGCAGGTGTTGCAAAACTGCACTGGGCAAGGCACAATTGTCGGTGTTGGGGCTTCATAGTTGGCACACCAGTATATTCTTCATGGCCGACACGTTTATTTATAGAAGCGATAAGCCGTTCCCACTGAGTGTGATCAGGGATAACAGTGCTCTCAACAAGTCTTGATTCGGCCTTCCCACCAAGATTATTGTTCCACAAGGTATGAACTCCCAAATAGCTTAGGTCAAGGGTCGAAGACAGCATACCGTCATCCTTAGCAGCTTTCTCGGCAACTGGTAGTGTTAAAAAGTTTCAAAGATGATAAAGAGAAGGACATACCTGAAATCCAATACCACACATCTCTAAGCCATGGATCTTCCCTGACTAATGATTTGTTCTTATTGCAATCCAACAAATAACCGTTGAGAGCACGTTGAATGAACAAATTATCAATTAGCATAGCGTCAGCCTTAGAAGATGGTATGCGAGATTCAAGTAACATTTCGTGCATCTCCCTGCTTGAACGAATCTCGTTTGTCGATAGATTTTGAGCCTTCGACTTTCCCTTGCCTAAAAGACTCATAGCGGATAATCCATTACTCAAAGAGCCAAGACCATTATAATCACCAACACCGCCTCTTTCAGCAAACTTTTCAGATACTGGATCGTTGACGATCGAAAGCTGCCGGTCGATAGCTTCTGCAAAAGTTGCTTTTGTAAAAGCTGCCCTTTTGATCTGACTGCCAGGGATTTCCGCTTTAGCTTCTGATGCTGGAGCTTCGGGACGCTCAAGAGCTTTGTCGAGAGCAGCCGCTAAAGACTTTTGGACATGTGCAGTGTTGTATCCGTCTGGCCCAAACACTGGCGTATTAAATTTCAACTCTTCTGCAAAAAGGGGGCCAAGGTTCGCCCGACGCTCTGTGGCATCTGCAAAATCCATCAAAGTATGATAGGGCACCTTATCATGGTTATGTGGCGGTTGCCATGGCATGAAGTCCATCATTTGACCATTGCTAGAGGGTGGTGTCTGCATAATCTCAAATGATCCCGAAGCCCTTAACGCAACAACGCGTGGCTGCAGATCTGTATTACCTAGTGTTAACCAATCAAAAGAGACAATTCTATCCTCTTGCCTGCGACCATGATCTGGGTCTAAATATGGATATTCGAGATCAAACGACTTCTTGACCTGAAGTAACTCCGGGCTTCCTTTGACATCATCTTCAGAGCCAGGATCGTAATACTCTTTGTTAGTCTTCAAGATTTGAAGCTGACCCGCATTTGAGAGAACACCCAAAGTTCCTCGATGCTCTCGGCAATAGCGCAATGATTTAATATACGAACCCTGTTTATCGGTAGAAATGACCTTCTTTAGTTGCAGAGCGGCTCCCCAAACATATCCATCGTTATCAAAAGCATCTAGATACATTGGAGAGGCTGTGGCTCGTGTGCTGGCACGTCTATCCCAGACCATGAGTCCAGGTTGATCTAAAGAGGAGGAGGCAAAATAGTTGGGGTCTGAGTAGTCGATAGTGAGGTTATTGTTGCATTTAGTTTGAAATGTGATTACTCCGCCGCTTGGATCTATTATATTTTAGTATATAGATCTAACAATGTGAAATCGAACTAACCTCTGAGATCATGGATTCGAACACAAGAGTTCTTGATACCAATAGCAAGGGTTTGCGGTTGATCCTCAAAGAACTTGATGCTAGTTACCTGTTGGGTATTGTCAGTAGCGCCATCAGGGGTGCTTTTCTTACATCCACTCACGGTGGCCGACTCAAATTTTCTCGGTTCGACCGCATTATTTGGTACCTTCCATCCTGTCTGAGAGGTATCCCAACCAGTTAGACGTTGATTCACATCCCAAATCTGCAGGGAGCCATCATTGCGAACTCTTTCGAGACCGATTACTAATAGTCCAGTAGTATTAAAAGCGACAGCTTGACATGCTCTTGGCTGTTTTATGGAAAGGGACAAGACAGCATTAGAATTATCGTCAACTCGTAGTAATTGAAGTTCGCCACTAGAAGTACCAACAGCAACCAAGCCTTCGACAACTGGCGACCAGTCGAAAGTGTTTAAAGAGGGAATATCAATGTAACGAGATAAGGGTTCATACTCGAATTTACCTGGCCGTGCAAGACCCTTCGCCTCATAGACTTGAAGGATTCGATAATTTAAGTTGAACGCAACAAACTGTGCACGAGCCGAGTTTGGCGACCATCTAATGATTCCTTCCGTCTTGTCCATGTTTGCCGGAAAGTGCCAATTTGGTACTCTATTCCAATCTAAGAGCTTAACCCTTTCAACTCTTGCGTTTCTATCCCTGGTTGTATCGCCAAATACCCAGTGGGTCCTGATACCAGCCTGCAGGAAGTACCTATCAGCTGATCTGTCTGCAGTCAAGGCAACTCAGCAGAACTCACCCTTTGGACGAGAAGTTGCTGATTGCGAGGGTTTCGGTCGGAATCGGAAAGACGTGAAATCGAAAATAGTATCGTTCACAACTTCATGATTAGCACAATTTAGCTCTGGGTAGTTCTTGAATTTGTAGCCCTGCTGCTCTACAATATCCGTATTTCCAAGGGGATTGTTTATATTCTCAAGGTTTCCGACTCTGAAATCGTAATCCTAACCAGAGCAAGTAGCGATAGGTTTGAATACTTTATTAGTTCGACTGCTCTGTGATCCAAATAAATTTGGAATAGCAGGCTGCCCTGAGTCTCTCGATCTATAAGTCAACTATTAGTTAGATAGCTCCCAAATCTCATGTATTGCTTGAAAGTTGATTCTGTAAATCTTCTCTCTCGCCATTCGCAATGGAACAGTGACATATAAATCTGCACTGAATTCGATCTCTTCAATATCTACACGTGAGAAAAGTAAAGAAGAAGTAATAATTATCAAAAGTAAACCAAACTACTTACAAGCTGTCTGCTATTGCATTCTTTGATGGCTCGTGCTCCGTCGGATTAATATTGTTCCATGTTGTTTCGAAGTGGATTTGGGTGTGGAGGAAATAATATTTTGTAAGTTTAACAAATTTGACAAGGCTGAGCAACTACAACAAATTCAGCTTTGAATCGATTTTTTATCAATTCAACAACAACATGGCACCAAAGCGTAAACTTTCGGAGTCTGATGCCGCAGAGGTGGTGCATCCATCTAGACAAGTTCAAGTCTACGGCGATGAACCAAAACCTGCAAAAAAACGAAAGTCAGAACCTGCATTTAACAAAAAACAAGCTCATGCTTCCAGTGTTAACACCATAAAGAAGAAGATAAGAGACATCACAAGGAAGCTTGAAAGGGCGCAGGATCTTCCTGCAGATGTGCGCGTGGAGGATGAGCGAGCTCTTGCTGCATATCAACAGGAATTGGCTTCTGCAGAAGCTGAGAAGATTAGGCAAAAAATGATCAAAAAATACCATATGGTCAGGTTCTTTGGTATGTTACTCCCTCGGCACAGGATTTGTTTTCCAACAGACTAATTGGGAATTATAGAGCGTCAAAAGGCTACCAGGCAATTAAAAAAACTTCGAAAACGTCTACTGGAATCTGAATCTACTGAGGAAGTTGAACAATTGAAGGATGAAATGCACATTCTCGAGGTAGATCTCAATTACACTCAATACCACCCTCTAAGTGAAACATACATCAGTCTTTATCCACCAAAGGGCTCTGGAGAGGACACAGAAGATAAAGCGACTAAGGAAAAACCTCCAATGTGGAAGGAGGTCGAAAAGTGCATGGAAGAAGGAACTCTTGATCGATTACGGAATAGAAAACCAGATGTCACCGTTTCGACTACAAAGCCTGTCAGACTTCCAGAGAGAAAGCTTGTAAAACCCAAGTCAATACCACAACCAAAGCCTGTTGTGCAAGCCCCAGCTATCGACACTACAGGGATGAATCGACGCCAGAGAAGAGCTCAGCGCGGGGTGAAAGACACCAGGGCTACAAAGATCGCAAAGAACAAATCTACTGGATTTTCCAAGAACCAAGCTTTTGGAGCGGTGGAAGGAGCAAGAGCGGATGAGGCTCAAGATGGTAATGTTAGTGATGGGGGTTTCTTCGAGGAGTAAGGGTAATTTTATGGAGTTGGACTGTATTACGATACCCGTTTATCAAACATGTTTAAGTGAAAACCATGACTATCAATGTTATACTGTTTTAACTTTTAATAAATTATGCTTGCTTTCTTGAGACGTTATGCTATGCTTCACCATTCAAGCAGCAGTCTGCAATTGGGAAGCACTAGAAGCTGATTCAGACAATAAAGTTTATACTGTGTTGACTGTGAACGCTCTGTGAATAGAGACTGGCCAGGTAGCAGTAGATGGCACTTTGTAGTATAATGAATCTGTTCTTTTGTTTCTGACCCTTTGCGTTCATATGCGAAACGGCGTTAAACATAATGTTGTATTGGGCGCATCTCATCTATGATGATCCCCATGTCAAGACCAAGATTTATTCTCATTTATTTGCAACGTAGATGATGACGACTACTTTCGACCCAGCATGGGGTATTTTGACATTTTCAAGCATTTTATCCGGCCAAAACATCGACATGAATGCAATTGTTCGCAGCAAAGCATCTCAAAAATTCACCAGCCCCCCCACTCACTCCAATCCCATCATCTACCTGGACACCCATAAAGTATTCTATCATCAATGACCTACCTAGGTACTTCGCCACCCAAAAAATGAATTCCAAAGAGCAAAAGAGATATGTTGAGTATGTCGAAACTCACTCCGGGAACGTCAGCAACGATGGCTGAGGTCTTTTCGGAATTGGGGCACGCAGAAGCGTGACCGTGGTACCACCCATCTCTGTTTGTTTCTGAAGGTAGCATTGTTGTTTGAATGTATATTCCTAACTTATGAAAAAGTGAATATATACAAAGCGATATGTAATCTATGGTACCAAGTTTGGTTTGTGAGCCCGCTCAATTACATGTATAATTATTTTGTGGAAGGGCATTCGGCATTCTGTTTTTCTTCGCTTCATACTTGATGGGCTATTACGACAGAGCCATAGTATTACTGGCGGTAAGAGAATTACTCAAATTCAGGTCTCAAAAGACTAATAATAATACCGCGCGGGTGGGTATACAGGACGAGTGTGATGAATACTGTGCTTGTACCGTATTAGAAGATATTATAAATATCATCTGTCCTCTTCAAATCAATCTACTATGATAATACTTTTCAAAAGCGTTTTAGTTTATACCGTCTTAGCAGATTAATGAGAAAGCCGATAAGATCACAAACCTCTACAAAATCATAAGAGACCTTGTCATACTGCGCACAAGGATTTTCGGTACCACAGGGTAGATTGTGTTTTGTAGACTCACTGCGGGGTAAGTGCCAGCACAGATACTCATTCCAATGCAGGAAACCACAATGGTTGAATTGGCAAACATTTGAAACAATCATTTCCTGCTACAACAATACTAAATTTCAACAAGACTGAGTGTTGAAAGTTGCGAGCTCAACAGCACCATGTCATCTTCACCAGCATTTAATGAAAGTTTCAAACACAGATTTCGTAAGGGACTAAATCGATTGCGGCGTAAGTCCAGAGACTCTTCGAAGGATGCCAATATCAATTCAACGCCGAGAATCCCGATAAATTCGAACACACTTGCGACCAAGTGAGTATTATCTTTTGAAAACCAGACTACGCTAATCAATCAAGCAGTACATATTCAAGCTTGGAACGCCTAACGTCGCAAGCCAGTTCCAATTCCCTAAGCCAAGCACATGATCTCTCAAAGGAACTACCTACTACCAGAGACAATACAGTTCAAACCCAAATTGATCAGAGCACTGCCCTTCCGAGAATTCATCTAAGCGGTATCGAAGATGACTCCTCTTCTAATCACTTGACGCCTAGCGTTGAAATTGACTTGGCCGTTGTTTCTTTAGACGTTTGGAGCGCCGCATACCGTGAAGCAGTAAACAGTCTTGGAAAAGACATAAATCTTGCTATTCTTAAGGGTGAGAATCTTGCGGAGCTATTTAAACAACTTGAGACTATTGATAAAGAGGTGACTCAAGAGTCTCTTTTCTTGAGAGGAGTAAAGTATCTGCATTCTCTTCAGGTACCACTAGACAGTTTCAAGCTGGCATTAGACCTGGCCAGCCCGTTGACGAGTATTGAACCCACTACCTCGATGGTCTTTGGTATTATCAAAGGCGTGACAGCTGTAAGACTATTTTACCATAATCTCTCACTTTGCAATTTCTCCCAGAAATATTACACAGAAAGCATTAACTTACACCTACTATATAGATTGCTATTAGTATTTCAAACGCTGATCTCAATTTCGCGAAACAAATCGGACAAATGCTAGAACAGCTCTCTTATATTGATGATTGCGACACGCTTGGTCAGAAAACAAAAAAGATAGATATACATAAGGTAGTCTGCTGCATGCCCTTTGAAAGCCTATTTAACAGTTTACAGGCACTCGTATTGGTATATCAGAAGCTTCTAGAGTTCTACATTACCGCATTCGAGATATTAACTAGGAAGGGAGCAAAGTTGGTTATGAGACTAATTCTAAAGGACAGCCATCTGCCAGATATTGTCAAAGATTTTTTGGACCATGCTGACAACCTCCGAAAGCTTGTGCAAAAAGCCACATGGGAGATTGTTGAGGATATCAAAATTATGCTCTATGATTATGAAAGTATGTTATCCCCTATTAAGATATGTTGACACAGCCTGATTGGTCTCTAGTTGCAAGGTGGTTAGGTAGTGAGAAGATGAGTAGACAAAACCAATACCATGTCTCTTTGCAGGAGATTCGAGTTGATGAGGCTTGTGAATTCTTGCTGGAAGATACAAAATTTATTGACTGGCACCATGCCACCGATTCCCAACAACTAGTAATCCTTGGCGACATGGGCTGCGGAAAATCTGTTGCCATGGCATATCTTATAGATGAGCTACGCCGACAAAATGAGCACCAATTGCCTCAGCCTAAGATATGCTACCATTATTGTCGAGATGATGAGACTGGTCAAGCTATTTGTATCTTCTCAGTTTTGATTTTATCCCTTCTTGGGCAATTATCTGGCTTGAAGAGAACATTTTTCGAATGGTATAAGCAGGGCGCGGCTTCCGGAATCGAGCTTGCAACAAATTCCAAACAACTAATTGAATGGTTACTAAAAGCCTTAGAAACACTCGATCGCCCACTCTTCCTTGTGATTGATGGTCTAGATGAGTGCGATCGAGCTTCCCGGAGAATTCTTCTCAAGTCGTTGAGAGATCTGTCCCAAAAAACTCCGAGACTAAAAGTTCTACTCTCTTCACGACCCGAGGAGGAGATCTTGCAGCTATTAAGTGGTATGGCCAAGATCAATTTGAATTCTGATACTGAGCGAGATAGAATTATTGTTGAAAAGACAGTTGAGAGGCAGTTGTCTTACTTATCGAAGCCCGTTAAAGTATTCATATCGCAGTCACTATCTCGTTTGGCGCAAGGAAGTGCTATTTGGACAAAGATGACAATTGAGCTCATAGAAATCCGCGGAATCCGGGCGCTTGGTCCAATGCGAGCTTTCTTGGAAGAAACACCACAACCTAAACAGCTTTCGAAGCTTTACGCTAATCTGCTTTCACGATACACTTTCAAAGATCCGGAGAATCAAAAGCTTGCTATTGTAGCGTTAGAAATCCTTGCCATCACCCGAAGACCTTTGAGTATACTAGAACTCGCTTGGGCCGTCCTCGTGGATACGTATGAGGAGAAAGATATTAGTATGGATGTTCTTTCCGAACTCGTAGATCATCAGAGAGTCATCGGCCTAATTCAGCCATTCATTGCTCAAATTGATTTCAGCGATGTCAGAAAGCATCAAGTTAGACTTGTACACCAGTCGGTAAAAGAGTTCATTTTCAAGGAATTGGCCCCAGATTCGCCTGGTCCAGGGAATTTGGCTATCTCTACTCAAGGAGAAATAGACCAAGTGTTTATCCAGCAACGCACTGAGAGCCTAGAGGCAGGCATCATGAATATGTGCATCAAGTATCTTCTCCTGGAACATGTTGGAAATGCTGATCTATTCTCTGAAGAGCAAGTGGCAATCGAAGAGCTGCCTCAAGATTTCAATCTACTACTCGACGATAATGATGAGTCGAAAGACTACGATCCTTATTGTACATGGGAAACCTGGGAGGAAAACATGATACATTACCTTCCGACTGAACGTGGCTTTGGTGAGCTATTTGTCTACGCTTCTTGTCATTGGATTGAGCATTTCAGCGCTGTTTCAACTGAATCTCTATTACCGAGTCTCGAAAGTATAGAAAATCTATGTCAAGCTGGTTCAACCCGTCTACATAATTGGATCACACAAAACTGTCGTCCGAAATGTACAATCAAGCCTAGGTTCGTATTCGACAGTAGTCTTTATGATCCCCTCAGTATCACTTCGCTCTACGGCTCAGAAGACATGCTTCGGATTATGCTTGAGAGCTCAGACTTCCAAAAAATCAAATTCCTCCCCAATCCAGCTATAGGTGCTGCGGAGCAAATTCTTCAATGGGGTGATTTGTCCAGACTCAGGCTATTAATGAGAAGTAAGATTGGATATCAGCTTCGGAACCTTGACTTTTTTCTGCTTGTCATGAAACAGTGGTCTAGTAGAATGGCGCATAATAAATCTCGCAAAGGCTGGGACGTAGTATTTGATCTTATTGACGATGTTTCGGATATAATGGTCGAGGAACGATGGGGCGATGAACTCTTCCGTATGGCTGTCAGTATCGGCTGTATGCCTATGATCCAGAGGTTACTAGATAGAGCTTATCGAACGGTAGAGCTGAGATCCAAATTGTTTAATAGGCGCGAAACCCAACATCAATTGATTGCAGAAGCCGTTGTAGGGAATCACGTGGATGTTTTGGAATACTTATTAACGCAACACGATATCGAGGCACACCTTCATTACCAGAACTCACATGGTGAGAATGTGTTGCATCTAGCATCTCGTTTCTGTAATCCCGCGATATTTCGAAGTTTAGTACCTCGTTGCAAGGACATTGTGTGCCAGACGGACGATCAGAACAATACAGTCTTAATGCGAATCATTATGAGCCCCTCAACTGCACAGAACCGAAGCGAGTCAGCACGAATACTGCTATCAGAAAGTGGAGCCTATGAGAGAGGCACTTTTCGGGATGGGCAGCAAGAATATCTAAGGGAAGCGATACGACTTGGCGATATAGATATGTGTCACACCTTGATTCGAGTAGGTAAAATGAATCCTCTTCTAACGGCGATACACGATGACGATGATCAAATGATATTGAAAGATAAGACTTCTGAGAATGAACAAGGCATATCAACAATGCTAAAACTACTATGCGCGCATAGTGACGAAGGGTTGACATAGGCTAAATGATTATCATCGTTCGGGATATTTATTCAATATATTGATTTAGCTAGTTCAGCGTGACGAAACCATGGCTCTTACTACTGCAAATTTTCAGCCATTCCTAACTTCTTACTCATCGACTTCTAACCCTCACTGATGTTCTCGGCTGAAACAATAAGGTTTCTTACTGAGTAGTATATAGACACGGACCCAATGTATATGCACTAGTCCTTTATATAGAGCTCAACCCGTAGCAACAAGCATATCTAGATTATCATCAATTCAAGAATCATACGTAGTCATACAGAATGGCCTTCAATGCATGGTGGCCATCCCATGGCCATAACAGCAGATAGCAGCGCAGACGTTTCATAAGAATGGTAAACTGTAAGATCACTGTAGTGTAAGTTTTTACAGGTGAATGAAATGATTCGAGATAATAAATGGGGATCGGCCTATTCTTTTCCAAAATTACTGGGCCATTACAAAGTATATGGTCTAGTTCGATACCCCTTATCAAATCATTCCAGCTTCATCTTTGCTTGAGTATATAGATTTTCAATTTAAACGGAACTCAAAATAAAAGAATGATCAAAAATGGGAGAGTATTAGTTTTATATTTAACTCCCTCTATAAAAGATTTATACAAGATTATATACATAAATGAAAATCAATGAGAGTAAGTATTCAAAAATAAACTTAGTATCTTCTATAAACCTCAAAACTCTATCTCGATATTCATTCTTAAACCCCAATGTAAATTGATATTTTCTATTACTGGGATTAAAGCAGGAACATCGACGTACAACAGAGGTGGGAGAAAGCTACAATAGAAGGAAAATAAAATTCCTAATTAATATGAGATGTTTTTTGATACTCTCTCGGTCTATAGTTCTAATTGAGTAGATTGCTCTAGATTGAATGAGAAGGTAACATTTTTTTGTATAAGGAATTTACTTCGTAATAGCTTATGAACTCGTAGAAGCAAACATGATAGAAATGTACTTCATATCTAAGGGATAGAGTGGCTACCATTAAATATGAAATCCTATCAGTATATCCTCAAAATTGGTCTTGACTAAGAGATATTCTTGCTGAAATTGTAAAGCTCCAAAGGCTTTTGTGTACCCTGCATCAGAGCCCAGTAAGAAGTATTACAGTATCAGTCTTGAGTAGCTAGACACTGTCTCACGGTTTCTTGACGTCTACAGTATACAGGGCCCTGATCTCATCCTTAAATCGCCTGCCGATAAGGCACTTCCATATTGCTGTAAAGGTTTACTTGAGAATTGTTCCAAGTCAAAAAGCCATTCACTCCGCTGAGCTATTGCAGCCCTTGGCTACATAACTATCAAGCAGTTCCTAGACACAATATCCACCAATCGTTCCCCGTCAAGCATTCAAAGACATCGATGATCCATCTCCTGGTTACAAGCTGGTCATCACGTGTGAGGGGTCGTTCCGTAACGCTAATGCGGCTCCACAGCACCTAATCCACCCCACCTTCCCAAGCAAGCCTCAAGCCAAAAAAAACACATCCCTACCATCCAAGCCGGGAACTAATGCGTGGGTTCTTTGAAGAGGAAAAGCTGACAGTAGCTGGCTTGGAGATAGAAACAATATATGAGAGAGATGCTAATGGTGTCGAGAGAGTGTGGGTTGCAGATAGAGGAGGAGAGGATCGAGATGCAATCGCCAGAAAGCGATGGCTGGTACTTGCCGTTATGTAAATGAATCGTGTACAACAAGTTTTTTTCGATGGACAGATTTATCATCTCTTCATGCCATCTCTTTCAAACTCCAGCAGCGAGGATAGTGGTGTTTATTGTAATACCTTTCAAACAAATTGCTCAAAAGCTAGAACGAGGCATCTGTAGACAGCTATAATCATAGTTTAGAGAGGCTCACCCCAATTAATGGCAGACCATCAAAAGACCGCAGAGAATGTCCTTCCCTCCTTTGGAAAAATAATAAGCATAGAATAGACCGGTGAGAATAAAGTAAAACACCAATACGGGCATTCCCTTTCATCCAAAACGTCGCCTCTGTCTCGCGCCTATCGCCTCGAATTGTGCCCAAATCATTGAATCTTTTCCGTCTCAACGACTATTTTGACATCTCCATCCATCCACTCTGTCTTTCTGACTGATAATAGAGCCATGGCATACGTTGCTTCCGATTTGACCTCGACCAAGCCATTGGGACCTAAAACCTTCATAACTGTCTTCTTATAAGGTGCTTTTACTGCCGCGTCAACATGTGCAGTAAAGCTGACAAAACCTACACAGTTTGTGGGATTTAAGGTAAACATATCTCTGATACGTTTGCCATTATGAACAATATTGATATGATACTCAAGTGGTGCTGGCTGCTTGGCACTAGTATTTGGGCATTTAGCTATTTGTGGCTCAGTTACTCCATTAGCAGTTGCATTGACTGCTACGGCTTGACTGGATGCAATTTGATTAGGCAAACTTAGTTTGGGATCAATTGTTGAGGAGCTGGATGCCTGAGTGCCGTGAGAAAACGCCGCGGCGTGTAGCTGGGAAAGCTCTTCCTCTTTCTTTTTCTGGATTCTCAAGTTAAGGGCATATAGTCGCTGTCTCTCATTGGTGACCATGCGACGCAATAAAGGAGTAATTCTAGAGATTATCCTAGAGATGACTGTTAAAAAAAGCAACACGTGGATCGATAGTTACAAAACTCACCTATTCGGCATTTGAGGCCACATGCACTTCCTTGTAGCACCACTTGGAGAATCTTTACTAAAAAGTTTTTGGCCCCATCCCTCTCCTCCTTCTGCCTCGTCGGCCAAGAAATTCCTGACACATGCATAGAGCTTGAGCTTCGTCATATCATTATCTCTTTTTTCTTTAGTACCGACACATGCGCTTCGATCTGGGTGACTCGGATCTAACATGTAGTCCTTGGCTGCAGCTTGTAGCGTGATGAAGTCTTCAGGTGCTAACTCCAACTTTGCGAAAAGCTTCGACATTGCTGGTCCTACAATGTGGTTAGCCACATTCTTATATGATGATAATGGGGAGACATACTGGTATACTTTCTATTAGTTGCTGTTGATTTTCGGAAAAGTGCTGCAGCTGAATAAACACCATGCGCTCTTGGGTTGAGATCGGGAATTGTCGACGATTTAGCTCGAGCATCGTTATCATCACCCTCACCTTCACCCTCGACCTCTTCATCGTCTTCCTCGATATCAGAAGGTTCCGATCCCCATATTTCTCGTTCTCTCGCAGCTTCCTCTTCCTCTTCCTCTGTAAGTTTTCGCACTTTTCTTGGTCTAGATTTAGCATTTATAAAACCAAACATTTCCCCCACTTCCTCTGCTGCATCTTCCGATTCATCTCTGCGACGCTTTGAGGATGCATTGCTTGGTGAACCTCGAGTACTTTGTCCGTTACCATTATTACTTGATGGTGTGCCTGACCGCGTGCCAGTTACCCCTTCAGCCGTATCGGCAGCTTTCAAAAGGGTTGCGAATTGAGCATTTGTGCTGGTAGCTTTGGGAATCTCATGATTACGAGATGAGTCCCATTTTGTATTTGTGAGCTTTTCCAACAATTCTATTGGATCATCTATATCTGCAATATCGTTGACGGTCAATTCACGCCTGTCTATTTATCGAGTCAGCAGCGTGATATTAGAGAAATGTGACATTGGAGCTCGATACTTACTTGATGGATAATTTGGTAAATCTGCATATCTATTACCAGTACTATTTCCATGTTCATTCCCATATGTTCCTAGGGTCCTCACTGAATGTGCTTCATTTTGAATTGTTGAAGGTGCATGGAATTGAGTTTCATTAGCCATGATGGATTCGGCGATTGATGGTGATGACTTGTGGGTACACCGTTTTGTCCTGTTTGCTCTTTACTCAAAATGCGATTTTCTTTTTGCGACTTTGGCTTGGTGGCTTGGTGGGTTGATTGAAATGGTAATTAGATTTCATGTGATAATCGGGAAATCGGAGTTAAAAAAGTTTTTTGCAAGGTTATTACTAGATGAATCTTCACGGATCGGAGAATGGATTAGTCATCGTCCGTGTCCATGCTAGCCGGTGGATGGAATTTACCAACAAAAGCGGACGAGGCAGAACTAAAGCAACCTTGGAAGTCCTTTAGTGGGCCATACTAGTAAATGCTTCATTGTACGAATTCATCATACAAGTCGGTATACACACTAAATAACTAACTAGAGCCCATTTAATATCATTCATTCAAATACCAGAACTGATAGAACAACAAATAAATAGTCATTCCATTGATTCTTGATACCTTTTCACACTCCTCCCAATGGAAACACTTTCTATTATTGTTCTGATCTAATAGCCATGATAGAAACGCTTGCAACTTCATCGCCTATAGGCTCAGAGATATTTGCTCTGATTGCCCTGTTGGTTATCAGTCTAGTTGTACTACTTATACTCCGACATTATCTGCCTATCCGTACGACTCCCGCATACCTTCTCGTTCCTATCTTTTTCGCGCTTTGGCTACCGGCAAGTATCGTATTGCTCGTTCCTATTGATCTTGCTTCAAGTGCAAGGACTGAAGATGCGGGAAGTCGAGGAATATGGCTTTACGACCGAGTGCTGCTGGTCGCCTGGCGCATCACATACTGGCTCACATTTGCCTTGACTTGGTTCGAGACACTCCATGCCTCCACTTGGAACCATACTGATATTTCACTAGGTTCATTTTACCCATACTTGCTGAATATGCTGATGCCGGTTATCGAGATCCAAAAGGTCGTCTACTATTTTCTTTGCGCGCAAATGCCCAGTATCAAGCCCTTATTCTTGGGGCCGGCCTGGCTACGATGCTATACATTTTTATCAAAGAAGGAGTGTCTCCCGAGTCATTAAAGAGTGTGGTTATGGCTCTTGCATATTGTTGGGGTTTGGTTTTGGCCATTTATCTCATGGGTCATGGGCTTGTCGCAATACCTCGAAACCTTTTCAGAAATGCAAGCATAAGTGGGAAATTGAGGAGGAT